TATATATATAGGGAAGGGGTAATCAACATGGCTGCCCCTTAGGTCCAAAGAATCAAATGGAAGGGAAAAAAAAAACACAAACTACATTTCACCGTTGAGCTGCACAGATTGAAAGAAGAAAAAGTGATTCCCTGCAGTCAGTCACACACATTCACACGTTTGTACCCAGTTGATCGTTGCCATAGCCATGCTGGTTAGAAAAATAACTATTTCAAAATAAAAGACAATAAAAACCTCGATATTTTTCTCTCCACGGGTGTGAGGTAGATGAGGGGTGGATTGAAGTGGGGGCGGGGCTTCCAGGTAACCTTGATTGAGATTAAACGCGAGAGTCAGGAGGTTTAGCCATCAGAGTTCACCTCTGKGGGGGAGGGGTTCGTTTTCAAGACTTCCTCCACCTTTGGGTCCGTGAGCCCCGCTGCGTGTGGGGCTCCTCGGGGGAAGAGGAGGATCCCTCCGGGGGAGACGAGCCGGAGCGTTGCTCCTCCTCTGGGGAGTAGAGGTAGGGCCCGCTCGCTGCCGCGGAGGCCGAGGTAGACGCATACGGGTCCTGAGAGCCTGAGGGGGGCGTCAGCGCCCTGTGAGGACACTGAGCCACCATGTGTGTGATGCTCTGGCAGTAGTGGCATTTCTTTGGCTGGGGGGGCAGGCCACACTCCTTGGCATGATGATCCAGACCTCCACAGTTATAACAGCTGCAGAGGGTGGGGAGAAAAAAGAAAAACACTTGAAGCATTTTAAGTTTTTAAATGACAAATCATGCAACAACTAGGTTTCACCACTAGGTGGGAGTATAACCTGTAATATGACTGAGGGGCACCCTGACACTGTTAATTATAAGAGACAAATAAACATGATTTAAATGACAATAAAACACTAAATTCCTGATGAACAAAATGATTGATGGGAAGGAGCAAAATATTATAAAATATSTTGTGTAACAAACATACAAACTTTTTAAGGCCTTATTCACTGCAGATTTCTGGTTTGTCTTTAAATCTTTTTGYTTTTTAAGTAGCTGCAAAAATACCRAAACAAAAAACAAAACACAATTTTAAAAGACATAATTTAGGCAGGTATTTATTTTGCTTTTACTAAGTTAYTTCCAAGGACAAATGGTGAAAGAACTTCAGAAAGATTTGAGACGTGCTGAACAAAACCACGTTAGAATGAAAAACATTTACTGCTGTGCAAAACATTTTTTATAGAAAAGAAAGAAATAATTAAAACTAATTAGACATAAACAACGATCAATGTTTAATTTGAAAAATGCTGTCGTTTATCGAGAAAACAAATTAAAACTCAATTTTTTGTTTGTATGTTAGACTTAAGAAGGA